TATATGGAAATATATGGAATGTATATGAAAAACCGAAGGAAAATGTTTCGCTATTTCATTACGTCTTAAATACATACTTTAAATTTGATTTATTTACCTTAAAAAACAAAAGAGTACTACCACCTCCTTGAATTATTTGGTATTGATCTAATAGTTCATATATTTTCCAAGCAATGGTTTAAGATAGACTCAGTTTTTCAGAAGTAAGGTAAAATATTTCAAACATTGACCTTCCGAATGTTTTTAAGAAACTATTGAGTTAAGTGTTTAATTCAATAGTTTTTAATAATAGTTATTTTCTATTTTTATTTTTACTTCCGCATTTTCTGTTTTCATTTTTCTCCAGATGTCGGAAGAAAAACAGAAAAAAAATCTGAGTATCAGAATGAAATGAAGAAAAAGAAAGTGAAAGACTTAATAAACCAAAACTTTAAAATTGCTGTTTTTCCAAAACCCAGGAAATACCCAAGCTGACGCTACTAGCACTAGTTGTCCATCAACTTCATCAACAAAGAAAGAGTTAAAAGTGATTAGTTACTAAATTCAAAAATTCTGTTTATTGTTTTCGCTGCAAAATTTTTAAGTTTCAGCAACGTAAAACTGAGTAGTTCTAAATTTAACGATTAAAACCCCTTAAACGAGCACTTAAAACTTCCTGAAAAAAATAAAATGCATTTTTGGAATCTACATCTTTGGTCCGATTTCTTAGAACGATTACGAAAGAATAAACCTGTTGATTCGGAATTTCAAAATTTATTAAAAAAAAGACACTAAGTATTGGCGCGATGTTATTGAAATAATTATCTATGCCATTCAATTTTTAGCCAAACGAAACTTAGCCTTCCGTGATTAAAGTAACAATAATTTTTTAAAGTGTATAAAAATGATAACAAAATTTGACCCTATCATGTCTGTATATAAAATTCAAACTCAAACTCAAAAAAATATGCTTCATTGTCTTGAAGATAAAATTCAAAATGAAACAATTAGCTTATTAGGGGATAATATAAAGCAAATTATCTTAAGTAAGGTCAAACAGGCAAAGTATTTTCTATTTTACTTGATTGTAGCCCCGATATCAGACATCAAGAGCAAATATTAATTTGCACGAGGTATTTTAATTTAGAAAGTACAAACATGAGTACTGAAGAAAGGTTTTTAGTATTTTGTGTTTCAACAGATACGACCGGTGATGAACGAACAACATTCTTATTGAAGACTTTAAAGGAAAATGGTTTAGACATTAGTAATTTACGCGGCCAAGGATACGACAATGGTTCAGCCATGAGAGGTAAACAGTTTTCGAGTAATTATGCTCAAATCGTTGCTTTTCCGGATTAAAAGGTTAACTTATGTTTAACATAATATGTAACTGCACTTACCTATTTTTATGTAAAATAACAATAACGAGAAGCAATCACCAAAAAAATCACAAAAAAGAAAAATATTGCAGAAAAATTACTACGATTGCAATAGTAGACACAAAATAATGATTAAACAATTTGTAGAATGCGTCTACCCTTACATACGCATTGGCATCACGTATTTTCACCTTCAAATAAGACAGAACAGAACACTAGAGACGAACTCTTGCCCTGGTTTTAGCCTTTCGGTCAAACAAGAGAGTGTGCTAGGAGGAAGGGTCACTCAGGACTTGACAAACTTGAGGCTGCCTTAACACGGTTAAACGCCCCAAGCTCTAGAGGAGATCCAAGAGGCGGCTAACCTATCGGTCGATCCGACGAGCTAAGACTAAGCTGAGTCGACAGGAATACTTAGCAACTCAAATTCTACGTCTCCATTCTGAAAGGATGGTAAAACATCTGCCATCAGAAGAGGTCCCAAACCCGGACAGCAGAAAGAAGTCACTTAGACACTGTCAGACAAGCCGGGCCAGCAATCCGGCCTGCTAATACTACGCCATGGTATCGGCTTTAGGCGCCCCCAGGGAGAAACCAAAGAAGGATATGAATATGCAGTTTTGAGGGTCTAGGCGCCCACTGGAAACATCAAGCAGTTTAAAGACACGCTGAATTTGCCAACTCGATCGACGGAAAGTGCTTCACCCCGGATAACCACAAATATCTGACCATGTAGCTCCACCACAACCAAAGGAACGGACAAGACAATACCATACAGTCCCTGACGAGCCTGAAACAGTCACCGCCAGCGATGGCTTCAGTCCTTTGGAGACTGATTTTAAACACAAGTGGCCGAGACTGCCTAGGTACAGATCCTAATCAGTACTTCCCATGTTTTACCTGAGTCGACCTCCGGAGGGGCGTTCAAATAAGACAAGAATTTTCTTGTTCAAACAGGCAGAGAGAAGAACTGCTTGTTTTAATGATTTTACCCGGTGCCTTTTTTACTCGGCGCCGTCGTGCCCCGCATGACCTTGCATCTATTGTCGGCGCGGGCCGGCCTCTGGCCAATAACAGACGTTGAAAACGTACAGGAGCATGCACTTATCGGTCATTATTCCTCCCCATACCATCATATCTGCATTACGGAAACGGCCACATTCCATAATGTTCAAAGGAAAATTTCACGTTTCAGACTCACTTCAAGTGTAAACATTCTTAAAATCAAATGTTAAACTAAGGCTCGACTCATCAGCAAAGAAAACATGGGACAATTGGTGCTCACTTTATTTCTAATGTTCTTTGCACCAATTAAAGTTATTTTTCTCTGTTGTTTAGACGAAGTAATATATACCCTTTGTTTTCGGCCTAAATCAAGCCTTCTACATACAGGTTTACCGTATTAGAACAGTTCCAGTGGTGACTGCAAGCTCTGAACCGAACACAAGACTTCCTGTTACGACGTGCAGTTATTGTGAGATATCGATCTTGAAAAGCAGTTGTTATTCTTTTACAACCTTGGTTTAGGCATCTTTACCACAGTTTCGGAGTTCTGAAATTGTTTTCATAGAATACAGATCACCTGTCTTGAAAATTTTGCACATTTCACTCTTTCCATGACTGACTGCCCTGCTTCTAAACAGCGGACCATTCGCCACTTCACAAATTCTTCCAAATGATGCTTCGGAGCCATAATAAATCGTTTTGAGCCTTTACGCACTGAAATCAAATACTGCATTGCAGAAATTCACTCAGATATTCATTTTGAGCAAATCATGACGGAGAATCAAATTGCCTTGATTTGCATATCTGAAAGCATTTGATCACTTTTGATTGGATAATGCTGATAAGCTTGTCTTTCCCACATTCCCAACAAAAATGGATTATATAGATTGGGTATTTCTTGGAGTATCGTTATTTTGGTGTGTTTAAAGATAAATTTCGACATGAGGGTAAGCGTTGTTACAGAACCAATATTACTGAACCTTTCTTACCTAGTGGAAGCAGGAATTAGTTAAGTCAGTAATTTACTATGGAAAGCAAGAAACAGGTTGAATATTTTTGAACGAAGAGACTTAAGAATTCAGTTAAACAATTTAATGCCAAATATTAAAAAAATTGTATCAGTACATCCAGAGCAGACCTCACATTAATTAAAATCCAAATTTGTGAGATTAGAATCGGTGCAAGTAGTGATTTTTCAATCAGTGATTCCTTTGTGCAGTTAGTGATTTTGTTTTTTGAAAAACGTGTTATATTTCTAAAATTAAAAATAATAATAAAATATAAATCTAATAAACAATTAAAACATTTTCCTATTCTTACTCTAATTGTTATTTTAAATTATTTATGTAAAATTAAATACTGCATTATGATTATGTTTTATGCTGTATGTGAAATGTAAAGGGTCTCACTCAAGAAACCTTCTTACTCAAAATGTAAAGGTTTCGATGAAGAAAACCATCTTTTAAAAGGATTCGACGCAAGAAAAGAGTTGGGAATCTGTGATCTAGATATATATCAAGCAGAGTATTTTTTATTTGGTTAAACCCAGAGCGCATTGCCTTAACTGTATCAGCGCTACAAGACCATCTAGTTGTACATAATTCTTTTACCGTAAAACGCTTATTATTGGCGGGAAAATGTTTTTCTAAAATGTTCCACTTATAAGTGGGTGAAAAAAAATGTAAACATTTTCCAATAAATTAAAATATATTATTGCTACTGCTATATCATTAAAATATGTCCTATTGTCACTCTATCCCTCTCTATCCTGCAGTTTAGTAAAACGTTGCTTACTTACAAATGACCATTTATATACATAAAAATAGGTACATATAAATAGGAAAAGAAACTAGTAGAGTTTAATAAAATTCAATTAGATTTTGTTTCAAAGTGGATGCTTTAACCGGGCCCTAGATATTTGCATTGTCTTTCTATGCTATGTACAGGCCCTGCCCAAAACTCAATAAAAATTCAAAATATTCTCTCTATATATAAATCTCAATTCTATATATAAATCTCAATACAAATTTTTAAACATAAAGTTTAATTTCAAAGGGAAACCAAATGGATAAATGTTTGAATAGGAAGCAAATATAAATGGCAGTTTCTTAATTTGTTACGAAATTTTGTTTTCTTTTTTAAAATTTATTATCCTAATTAAATCGAAAGCTGAAAACAGCAAACAATTTGAAAAAAAAAAAGGGAGCTTCAATGGATATTCCCCCTCATTTGCCTAGTGAGGTAAAAAAAGACACATGTCTACGCATTTGTACATAAATGGAAAAATCTCAAAGAAATCATATGCCACAAGTATGTGTACAGTATTTATGACGGAGATTAAAAAAATTACGATATTCAAGACAGTTCATTCTCATGTGCGTGTTCATTTTGCCAATTTTATTTATTAAGGAGAATCTAAAAATAACCTTACTTTTTACTGGAAATAAAATAAGTAACGAAATCAGTATTTTTGCGTGTCATTGTGTTTAGGTAGCAGCTAGTTTATTTCCTGGACGCCTATTCTAGGCTACGAGAGTTGGCAGCAGTTTGTGGGCCGCCAGATGTCGCTGCTAGTGAAAAACAGGTCTATCCGACATCCCATATTCTCTGAGTATGGAAGTAATTAGAAGCGCGAGGAAAAGTGTTGCCCCGTCGTCAATTAGACTTGTCCAGTTGACGTTCTAAGTAGACAATGGCTTTGTATGTGTTTTCGTATTTAAACGAAGAATATGGTCATAGATATCTGAATCGGTGGCGAATTTATAGAAAATATGTCGATGCTTTTGCTCAGCCAGAAGATGTTTTCATTGCGTATTTCAGATTGCCAAAATTTATAGTTATTTTAATCTGCGATGAACTGAGAGAGTATTTGAAGCCACATTCAGAAAACAAGAACGCAATTTCTTCTGAAAGAAAGGTAATTTATATTATTCCTGAAATTATAGATATAAATTGTAATTATATGCTTTAAAAATGTGGAAGATAATAAGTTTATCAAGCACATAAACCTTATTCATTTAATACAAATATAGACATCTGATAAGCTTCTACTCGATTTATGTACAGCAAGAATTACGTTTATTTTAAAATCTAACAGTTGAACACATTACGAACAATACTGTGAACACGGAAAGGAATGTCGTTCATTATTACACGAAATTCACACTACTGTAAAATAAAAATAAGAAAAAAATTATAAAACTATATAATTTAAAATATTTTTTCAGTAGCAGTACTACTACTAGTGTGATACTTTTAAAAATAATTTTTAGCCCAGAAGGGCTATTAATTTCGTGGCGTTTCACGATAAATGGTGTTTCACATATTCAAATTGTTGCCACCAAATATTATCGCACTGTATTATATTTAAAAAAATTAAATGATGAAGGATCTGCATAAATGTATGCATGTTTCTCGCACTGGGATAAAACAACGGTACCTAGAGCTATGAAATTTTGAATAACGTAATCCTCCATCCTAATATAGGCATCTGGAGGCCCAAATTTCGAACTAGGAGAATTGGTTTTATTATCTATTTCATATTTTGTAAAGCATTTATGAGTGTTTGATTAAGAAACTCAACGTTTTCAAACCAAGCAATGGCAACATTGTACAGAAACATTTTCATCTCTAGCGCGCGAGACTATGTATCGGAAATTCTAATGATACGCTCTTTTAAATTATATATATGATATTGCTGTTGAATTGAATTTTATAATTTAAGTGCGAAGAACATGATATTTAATAAATAAAGGTAAGACGCAAAACGTTAAAAAAACGGCACTTTGATATAAAATCTGAAGGCATTAAGGTTTTTTTTTTTTTTTTCTATTTCTTTTTTTAAAGCGTGTGTGTGTAATTTTATTACGATTTAAAACTGGTTTCTAAGGAAGGCCTTTCTGAGGGAAACTCGCTCGTATACACGTTACACATGGGGAAAGCCACGAAAACGCCAATGCGGCAAGCTCGTTCGCGGGATTCGAACCTCGGACCAAATTGCCTGCTTTCAGTGACTCTAGCGCTCGGCCGCTGGTGCGCTCATTGGTAGAATTATACTGCATTGTTATTATATTATGCTATAAAGTGACAATGCTATAAGACTGAGGGTTTGTTCATGGATTAGTACTTTTGTAATCTATTAGTACTAAAAAATCATTGTTCTTTGCAACTTTAAAAACAAAAATAATAATAATGTTCATATAGCAGAGTTCTCATTTTTATATTGTAAAAGAAATATTGATTATTATTAGATCTATTTAATGTGTCGAAACGCTGGTTTGACAAGGATTGCAGAAGACCTATACCGATTATTTTTACTTTAGTACTTGCATTGTGAAAATAATGTTACTATCTTTTAATTATTTTCACAGAATAAAATCTTTTGAGAAGGAAGAATATTTTAAATAAGCAGTTCTTATATATATAAGAAATTAAAATAACACAATGTAATATTAAAAAAAAGTATTAGTAATTGTGTGAGGAAAATTGCAATACGAATTAATCACACATACAGGATAGATTAGTCTAATTTTGGTTATATATTTTATATTGAAAAAATATTTTCTTTCATGTTAATTATAGAATAAATTATTTAAAATAAAACATTTTGATGCATGTGTGATAGCTGAATGCAGCAGCAATCGGCCATACTGTAACAGCGAATTAATTTTCATAGAAACAAAAAATAAACAAAAAAGATGAAACATTAAGAAAGTATTTTCTTTCTAATTTCTTACTTAAAGAAATATTTTTCTAATATTAACTGTAAAATAAATTGCGTGAAAACACAATTTTAATATAAGTATGAAAAGAAAGGAAAAAAAAAAACTTAGTTTGCTATTAGATTGTAATGCAAATTAATCATCTTATAAATTTAAATGATTAAAATTGTTTATTTCTAAAAAGATTTGAAGTAAGCTTAATTCATTTACTCTTATCTATTTACCGTTTCCACATCACTCTTTTTTTTTTTTTTTTTTTTAGCCCAAAAACCCTGCGTTAACTTTCCCCTTAAAAAACAGGATTTTCCTTCACATAACACATTGTTGGTCATAATACTGTTTTGTGCCATTTTTGTTTTTCCCCCGAACTACAAATGCAGCGTGTGAGTTAGTGAAATAATTGGAGAATATTCCTAGAACTTCAGCCAGCGCGCGCTATAAATTTCGTTACTCGTCTGTACTGCGATTGGTCTAAAGCTCCTTTCAGTAAAGTCAAATGACCCCCCTCCCGCCCACCAACTGAGGACCTTTCTTACCTCCATGCACAGAATGGCTTTCTCTGATAAGTTGTGATGGCTGTCTATACCGCTCTTTTTTTTTTTTTTTTTTTTTTTTTAGTCAATATTGTTCGCTTAAGTTGTAGACGGATCCAGTGATCCTAGAATAGGAGTCATGGATTGCAGTTGTAACTGGAGCTGTTTTTTAAATCCTGCCAAACTTACTAGACAAATAGCGAGTTATCGCTATGTCTAAAACAACTCACAAATAAAGAAGAATGCCTAAATAACTTTTTAATTTTAATCTCAATTTGAACACAAAGTCACAACTTCTGCTACAGACGAAATTTCCACCACTTGTGGTATTCAAAAGAACATAACAGAGACTATATATTGAATAGAATAAGCTGGCTCGGATAGATGACCGAAGCATAATTTAAGCATCGGCTAAGCTAGAATGCTAAAGAAGGAATATAACTTTTAAGCACAGCTGGCAAAAAAATACTAAGAGCAAAGACGACTGCCAGAGGCTCTCTTATCTAAAGCTACAAAACCATCAGCTTAAATATATACAAAGTTAATGTGTATTCTGATAAGGAATACGGAAAGAAGAATAAAGTTATAGTAATGACTTAAATCACAATAACTGATTAATTAGTATAATTACAACTTTATAATAATTTGATTTTACAATAGTTTATAATCTTTACAGCTGTTGAAAGATATTGCCCTATTAATGCTGTTAAAAGTTATAATATCGAGATGTGTAATTATAGATCTATTTCTTAACGTCTGAAAAATAATAGTTTAAAACATCGTTCTTTAAAATAGTTTTGTTATAATAAGTCTTTCTTTTCTTCGTTAAAAAATATACATTCTTAAATTCTTTAAAATGAAACTTTTTAAATGTATAATTTTTCCTTTTATTTATGAAATGCTTTTGTTTCCCCAGTATTGTAAAGAGATATGTGATAGATTTGGTGTAAAAGGATGGACGAAACTTTCTCCATGGGGAACAGCGCAAGGAATTATCCAAGGGGAGAGAGGGAATGTTGATGAAGTGTGAGTATTTTCACCTTGTAGGATATAACGTTTACTTAATGTATCTATAAGAAAACCTCCTCGAAATTTAAATCAGTTATCTATTTCTGATGTATTGAATATTACCTACTAACTAATAAGGTATACAATATTTAACTAACTAGATTTAATTGCCCTTCAGAAATTGACTGCTTTTAAATGCTTTTTTATTGTATTTCTACTGTAATTTTTTTATTTCATTTTGAAAGGTTTTAACTAATATTGTGAATTTTATTTTTATTTTTTATTTCAGATAATATTGGAAATCTATGTGCAGATGCATATATTGGAAGCTATTAATTATTTTCAGAATATAACGAAAAAATGTAATATTAACTTAATACGCGAAATATAATACTTTATTGCAGATTTTCATGCGTATAAATACCACTGACGCTTGGATTTACTTTTACAAATGTTAAATGTAATAAAAAATATTGCTCTGGATTCTTTCCACTGAAATAGTTTATGAAGAAACTGTTAAAATCGCATTAAACTTTTGAGATGTACGGATTTATTATAATAAGCAAGTATGAAAATGTCACTTGAAGCAAAATTTTATAGTTCGAAATTTTAATCTTTTATTGTTAATTCGTTTAAGCAAAAATGGAGAAGAAAGAAGAGCAGGTTTAAAACTTTTCGTGCACTCTCTTTCATGTACTTACTCTTTTCGTGTAGTCATATTGTATAATAATACATCAGTCCATAGACACATTTATTACAATCAACAATGCATTTCAGTACTGCAATTAATACAATTTGGTTCTCATTTACTCCAACTAAATTAAATGCATTTGAGAAAGAGTTCACTCTTATATCAATAAGATTTCACATAATAATCTTGGCAAAATTTTCTGCATTAGAAATGACTGAAAATAATGGTAGTTAAATTTCAGTTATAAAAGTATTCTTTGGAGAAAACTGCTTTTGAGAAATTAGGAGAAAACATAAATTAGTAATTTATAAAAATACTTTAGTTCATACTAGCATTTTGGTAAAACATTAGGTTTCACTTCCTTTACCCTCTATTTTTATTTATTAATTTTTATCCATTTCCTTTAGTTCGCTTTATATAAAAAAATATGTTTATTACTCTCTTATTTAGTTACTAAACGTAACAGAATATGATTCTTTTCTGAAATAGAGAACACGTTCGTCTTCTTTAAAATTTTCTAACATAACAGGGAAAAAAATAAATAAATAAAAAAAGTACGGCTTCTTTTCTTAATTTGAAATTGCTTTTTATTTGACTAAGAATCATAAAGAATTTTATGAGCACCATTATCTAGCTCAATTGATTTATTGGAAGGCGTCAGTCAAGTATGCTAATCTAAGCAATCGCCGTTCATCTGTATCGTCACTAAACTTAGCGTTACAAAAGAAAACTTTCACTGCTTTCATGAATTTATACAAATGAACAAGTTTGTTTTTTCCGACGCACTACTACTGATATATAATCAAACCTGACTAATTGCTCGGCAGGAGGGGTGATTTCCAATATCTGTATTACGATTTCCCCCAGGGGTGTCATTCATTTATTTGGAAAATTGTCTTACTAACTGCTCCAGCTTCAATTGCTCTTCTGATATCGGTTTCTTCAAGTCAAAGGCTATACTTTCTTCACTAGTTTATTCATTTCCAGCTGCACAGTAGCTTCCTGAAACTTAATTTTTGCCCCGCACGATTTTAAGAAATCCATCCCTACTATTACTTTCGTTTGTAGATTTTTCACAACAAAGAAAACCACCTTCTGGTTTGCATTCTTCACTTGCACACGTAAGATTACGTTTCTTACCTATTCACAAAGTTCGCCTTGGGCGGCAATAACCCTCGTTCCTTCAACACCAAATATTCTACAAGGTTTCAAAGTTTTTTCTGAGTAAATGTTCTGACAAGAAACTACTTAGCGCCCTTGTATCCAATAATGCGTCCGCGGCACATTATTCAATAGAATTTATATCGCTCATAGGGAAAAAAATTTGTATCAGTACTCTATTTAATTGGATACTGTGGCGATATCATTTGCGTTAATGAAGCGCCATCTGTGAAACTCTTCTCTTTTCGCCAGAGTGGCAACACTAAGCCTTCAAGTAGAAAAAGAACAGTGACTGATTTTCTGTGTAATTCTATTTCCAGAAAATGTGAATAAATATTAATCTTATTGGAGTCAGAACAGTGTTTAACATTTCTTACCTTCTGCACTTCCACACTGGTTTACTCGGATGTGATCCAATTCTACTTATGAAGTGTAAGATGGAAAAAGAACGTACGATATTTCTATATTGTAACGATATGTCACTGACATTATACGCACGTTATAAATAGTTCACCTCTCATCGATAGATTCACTCGGTGGATCGAAGCTGTACCTCTAGAAGACCAAACCGCAGAGTCTGCAGTACATGCCCTCATTGCGACTTGGATTTCCAGATTTGGAATTCCAAAGAAGATAACATCTGACCAAGGTCGGCAATTTGACAGCCAACTCTTCAGATCCTCGAGCAAATACCTAGACTTCAAGGCGAACAGCACCACGGCTTACCATCCACAATCTAATGGTTTAATGGAACGACAACATCGAACCTTGAAAAACAGCCTAAAATCCCACCTGCAAACGTCAAATTCTTGGGCTGATATTCTACCTTTGATTTTTCTTGGAATTCGAACCGCCATTAAAGAGGATTTGTATTGTTCTTTCGCTAAACTTGTGTAGGGTTCACCAATCTGTTTGCCTGGAGAATTTTTCAGTTATGTCCCCATTGTTACGCATTCAGATTTTATACAAAAATTGCAAAGTCACATCCAAAACCTAAAACCAACTCCAACAACCAGCCATGGAAAAAAAATTTCGTGCACAAGGACTTAGCACATTGTTCACACGTATTCATCTATAATAACATAATTTCATCTTCTCTTCAATCACCCTATTTAGGATCATATTTGGTTAAAAACGTTTTGAGAAATTTTTCGATATGGAAGTTTCAGGTAAAATTAAAACGATATCGATAGACTGAAAAACCATGTTTCAGTCTCAAAAATGAAATAACATCAAATCTCCAGACACGTGAAGCTGATAACTCTAAAATCTCACTTCCACTTCCTGGAGACAATGATTCTTCCAAAGATATTCATCCTAGAAACACAAAAGCTGGAAGAAAGGTGAGATTTCCTGCATACATGAAAGATTACGAGGTATAACGCTATCACTGAGAAGGGGGGTGGCGACATCATTTGCGTTAATGAAGCGCCATCTGTGAAACTCTTCGCATGCAATTTTCTTTTCGACAGAGTGGCAACACTAAGGCTTCAAGTAGAAAAAGAACAATGACCGATTTTCTGTCTGTGTAATTCTATTTCCAGAAAATGTAAATAAATATTAATCTTATTGGAGTCAGAATAGTGTTTCACATTTCTTACCTTCTGCCCTTTCACAGATACGAGTAGGATCTTTTTTTTTTTTTTTTTTTTTTTTTTTTTTTTTCTTCCTGGAGTGATTGTAACTTCTTTTGCGATTTATTTTGGCAATCGCAATTAGTGGGTTAAAATTTCATCCTGTTATCCAAAACGTCCACTGCCGTCAAATTTTGGGCTTCTTTCCGATGCAAATCCACGTAACCTCTGCTCATATCCCGATGTGCATGTACTTATTTGATACTCGCCTACTTTCAAAGTTCACGGCCATCTCAAATAACTGTTCAAGCGCATTCAGGTTTCAACAAAATCCTGAATTTGAGGCAACAACCTACGCAGGATTATTTGGATAATTTGCGCATGGGATTTTTTTTTTCTCATGCAATAGCTTTACGCTTTAAATTTTCCTAAACACAATCAGTTCTTCGACCTTAGTCTGATATCCACCTAACAATTCCGCTTCTAATTTCACCCTGTCTTTCACCACGGGCATGCTTTCATAAGGGCAGCATTAACCCTAAAAAAATTTACCAATGCATTTATATACCTCAGTGCCTGTTCTCGAAGTGCAGCTGTTGCTATGGTGACCTTCTGCATTTCTGCAATGGGGTAAAAAGAAAATGTGAATCCAATTGTCCCAGAAAAGTCATTGCCGAAATTCTGAGATCAAAAATAGCTACCGATTTCACTGGCGCTCACACCGTTATCTACGATGAACCCGAATCGTTCCATGGGGCACCACGTTATAAAGTTTCGATATCGGAAAACTGAAGAAATCCGCAACGCCCTCACCAGGATTCGAACTACGGATCTCTCGAATACGCGTCGAGCTTGCTTCCAGTTACACAACGAAAGCACGCGGAAAGGAGGGAGAAAATACCTTATAACTTTGTAACAAAAATTTAACAAATGAACTGAATTTCTTTGTAAATTTAATATATTTTTCTTGGCCCACGTTAAAAGAATAAGCAGACCTCTACAGACCAGCCTTAAACCACCACAAATACGAACATTTCTTCTCATTTCTCATCTTCTCTATAGCTACAATTTAAACTCAGACGCCCTACGTTTCTTCAAAAACCTTGCGTGAAATGAAAATAGCTTGCTCAACAGCTGACATGGAAGCTTTTTATTTACTGACACATTTTCTTACCTTTGTGATCATGTATTATTGCGGGGGAGTAGAAGCATTCGCTATGTAAATGATACTACACTCGCGTTCGAAAAGTAAAAATAATTAATACATTTTTATTATTTTCGTAAAAAGGTTACTACATAGAATTTAATAAAAATTATTATGGGCAGAGTTAAATAAGAGAGTGGTTTTTCTCATGCAACCTTGAAAATTCCAATCCACGATCGTGGTTCATTACAACAGGATTATCCAAAACTGACGGTGCAGGATGGCGTTGAAAATTACATAAAGAAAGGATATGATTAAAGATTGGTATGATCATCTATAACAAACACCAGGTATCGCAGAGAGTCATCATACTGTTAATGAGACAAGTAGTGAGTACCTGAACCAAAACTATTCTTAGCTCCTGGGTGGTTTTCGAAGGGAGATGACGAATCTCACTGTCCGTCTGCATCGCAGACACATTTAGTCAGGTTCAATGTCTGGATTCGTAAACTATCTGAGCTCTTTGTCGAACAGAGCTGTCGGCCATAAAAAGCAATCGATAGTCAGTAGCCCTTCTGAAAAGAAGGATACAGGTATCTTAAAAATTCTTCTCTAAACGTCTAAGCAGTAAAAGCCTCGATGACACACATGGGGTGGTGTATGATTATCAGCCACAATAACTGCCTAAACAAAGACATTGCTGCTGTTATAATTGTCTCTTTCCTTGATTTCGGAGGAATAATACTGAGTACATACTTCTCTGCAAATAAAGGTATGTCGAAAATCTGTGTCTAGGCTGAATCTAGACTCGTTACTGAAGAGAACTTGAGCCCACTGAAATTAATTCAAAGGCTGATGTTCTCTGCATTGCCCTAGACACATGCTTTTGGATGAGAAGGATCTTAAGTTCGTGTTATTTGGGAAACATTCTTTCTCATAAAGTCTTCCAAGAAAAATAACCACTGAAACTGAGATTCTAGATACAGCGGAGAGCTCATGGGAGAGCTGTGCGGCTGTAGCAGCGCTCTGGCGTCTTTGGCTAAAACTGCTGGATATCGATCTTCATTAAGCGTAGCGGCTCTCGAACACCCTAGATGTGGATCAGATCACTTAAAGGAATAGTTTTTCCGCAGACGACATTTAGCGTCACACTGAGCTTTCTGCCCCCTGAACTTGAGATTGTTCTGCCAATAATTATGAACCTCATCCAATCATGTCAAAGATGGTGGTTACTCATACTACCCACTATTTATGAAATTTTATAAAATGTTACAGCAAGCTCCCTAATTATAACCGAAGTGTACGAACGAAGTAAGAAAGGAATAACGAAGTTAGTGATGCAACACTAATAGTAAGTTTCTTATACAACGCTAATAGTAGGTTTCTTATACCTACTATTAGCGTTGCATCACTAACACGTCCGAGTACGATTTCAGCGTTACTGCTGGAATCGTGTTCAACAGTAGCGTAGCTGCAATCTTATTTGACCATATATAGTCTGTCCATCACGAGAAGAGACTTGACTATGCATCACGTGGTGTTGGACGACCCCCGACATCTTGCTCTAGGTAAACCGGGGCACACGTCGCATGATCTTCGTCGCATGATCTTCAACAATGGAATTTGGATTCCTTCATTCGCAATCTTGGATGAGCTTTCTGCTTCCGTACCTGCAGTGAAATGCCCTTCTTAACAGGCGAGATCAAGTCTCCTATCGTGATGGATGGATTATTCCTTCCAGTTTTGCTTCAATATTTTTTGAGAAATTCGGAAAACGTGTTTTCTCTCCTAATTTTGAACGCTAACGTATTTCTGAAGTCGGCTTAGTTGACTACAGTGAATTTATTTCTTCCGTTTAGAAAGTATTTTTTCTGTAAAAGTTGTTTTACATGCAAATGTAAAATATAAAGCTAAAAATCTACCTTGAAAATTTTATCTTTGTTACATCTACTTTTATGTTTTACATATTAATCTTCAGTCTAAAACTTTGCACCAGTAGTAAGAATGCGTTAAAGAGGAGTTCCTTTTAAATGAATGAAAAATCGTTTATAGTCCCTTCCTTTTTCTGTTTATATCACGCACATATATCATTACGAGTTAGTATACAAAGGACAAAAATTAGACAAAATGCTACCTTTTCTTTGCTTTCCCACCGGCGCACACATTCTTTATTTTATTGCATACGTGCCTCCTTTTAAAGGCACTAGTATAGTTATACCAGATAGCACATAGCTCTTTAAATCTGACGTTTCAAATATTAGCTATGAAATTATTTGATTTTTTTCCTTTCTTTAAACCATATTCAAAGGTAATTCTTATTAAATAAAAATTTATAAGAATGTCACTTAAATCGGTAAAAAACTGTGCAGTCAAATTATATTTTCTTTTATTTGGTTCTATAACAGGGCTATGTGGTTGCAACATCAAGGCAGTCCTGGATCTCGTATTGAGCATTGTGAACTCAGGAACTGGCAAATATTGGATAAATACGACTACAGACATTTCAATGTTCGCTTTTAATATCTTCTCCCATGTATTAAATTTATTTTATTGTAAATAAATATATGCTAATGGTGTCTCAGACTGCTTGTATACAAATCTCACTATTTTTTTATTTGTAGTTGCTTAATTATCCAGTAAAAAATTTCAGTGCTTAAAACAATCGGAAGCAATTATGCTGCTGAATAAAGAAAGGCATATGGGAAATTTGATTTCAAAGTCGTGTACGTTTATTTCTGTGGTATAAGTTCCAAACGCATTGTATGTTTGAAAATTTTGAAAGTAATTACAACTTTCCCCCCCCTCCCACGGTAGAAACTCTTCAGTGAGTTAGTTAGTTAGTTCTGAGCACTGGCCTCCAGCCCACCTAGCAGGCGAAACCTGCCATATGGCTAAGAGGGGACAGGCCAAGCCACAAAGGCATAACAAAAAAAAAAAAAAAAAAAAAAAAAAAAAAAACGTAAACATTTCAAACACTCTCGGTGAAATAGTATATAAATGTGTCGTTTCCATTTCTGTGTTTTTTCCTATGTTTAAAATATTTATAAGTTTTACTTTCAATTAGTTATTATTATTCAAATCTTCTTTATATTATCAAAATTCATCTTAAATTTATAAGTTACCTCAATTATTTCCTTATTTCTGTTTTCAGTATGATTTTCTGCTTTGTTATATCTCGATACCAATATTCTTCTTATTCTCATTCACAGTTTGCATGATATATCTCTTGCAAATTTTCTAAACGAATTTATAGTAACTAAATAAATCCTCAAACGTCGCAAATTTATATTATCTTCTCACACTTCCAGTCAGGCAACAGTCCTCGACGAAATGCTTTGAATCGCCCAATTCATTACAAATTTTGCATATATCATTTTCCTGGAGGTGGAACTTTTTTAAGTAAGCAGGGAACCTTCTATGTGCAGTGAGAATTTGAATTGACATCTATATCTCCTAAAATTCGCATTTATTGCTTAATTTTTAAACATTTTAGATAGTTTTTGTTTCTTTCAGAGATATCCCATAAATTTTTCCAGTCTCTAATAAGCTTTGTTATATATTATAAGTACACGTCTTCTTTTTCGAATCTTGAAAAAAAACCTTTTCGGTCTCAACCCCCAGGGAGGCTTCTTTCGCTAGAGCATCCGCTCTCTCATTCCCATAATGACCAGCGTGAGCTTTGATTCAATGTAAATTCAAATTATGCTTCTTTCGTAGTTCTAAATATATATGCTTAATTTCAGTAGCAATATTATCCTTTTGAAACGGGCGGGAGAGCGCCATAAGAGCAGATAAGGCATCTGAGTATAAATTCATGTAGCGCCCCACGGATAATTCTTGATCCAGGATAAAGCCATTTTAATTGCCAACAATTCTGCTTGATTAACTGAATTTCTTTTCTTGGTTTTAAAGTAAACGTTTTGTAATCAGTTTCAATACCGTGGAAAAATACAACAAAGGCACAGCCGATGTTCTCCGGAAACCCTGATCCATGTGTATAAATTTCAATTTTTCCAACTGAAATATAGTCTTTATCGTAGGATATACCGTAATATTCGCTAGGCTGGCTTGAAGTCAGATCATGTCCTAAAAAAGCCTCGCTGGTAATTGCTTTATCTTCATAAATTATTTTCTGTTTTATATTATATTTCAGACAAAATTTGTCATAAGTAAATTTAAACTGTAGTGAGAGAGGCGGTACACCAGCCAGTAAGCATTCAACTTATGTCGGGACTGTTCTAAATCGATCTTGTAATTGCAAGTGTCCAGGCCCACTGCAATGAATCTAATTTCTGCCTTGTCTTGAACCAGCTTCCCTGCTCGATCATCCTATGCGCCAATACCATACAGAATTATACTCTATTACCATAGAGTATCTATTACCATAGAGTATAATAACATTTTTGTAAATATCCCTCGGGGTAGGGCTTTTGTCAGAAAGAGGGATCGGAGTAAAAGTATTTTTATAATAATTAAAAAATTTTTTTCTATCTTTCGTTGTATTGACTTAAAATGCTCCATAAAGTTCAACTTATCATCAATCACTACACTCAGGTATTTAAACATATTCACAAATTTTATTGTTTTTTGATCATATTTCAATCTGGAGGTTCTAACAATTTGTTCCTCCCCAATGAAAAAACATACCATTTGTTTTTTCAATATTAAATTCTATATTTTGCTCATTACTCCATTTCTTAAAAACATTTTCAAGCAGGTTAAAAGTAGCCTCTATTTTTCCGAGGGAGTCTCCTGTAATAGTTACCATAATGAAATCACCCTATATGTGGTCAGGTAGTAAATTTAGAACCCCGTTTTTCACGGGGGGGGGCTGAAAAGGAGGGTATAGCCTTGCTCGTGGTCTTGAGAAAATGAGGGGGTCGTTTAAACATCTAACTTCTCTACATTCAGTTTTTATACAGAGGAAAATACAAATTGAATTCTTCAAAGGAATGCAATTTTGTTCAATGAAAATGTATTAGTGAACTATAAACTGTAACGCAAATAACATTTTTTTTTTTTAAAGTAGGAGTAGAAAGACAGATATTTGTTACATAAATGAATTTGTAGTAAATATTGAATTTTTCATTTTGAATACTATGTTACATGTATGCTAAGTAGCTGAGTATCTGAGAAAATAGTCTTAACCTAAATGGCTTTCAACCTTTTCACGTCTAAAAGGACTGTTTTTCAATTACTATCACGATGGGAAACTAGGGAGTACTGTACTGACTGTGGTCGCTGCTTTTTGGTTAATTTTCTAATGACATATAAACATTAATTGTTTTAATTTGAGACTTATGAATAAAATAACGCAAACTAGACTGCAGAAAATTCTTCAGAATGAGTTAATACTGAAAAATACATTTATTCCTATTATCCAATTTTATCCTACAACAAATCTTTTAAAAAGTGTGGAATTAGCAGTGCACTAGGTGGAAATTAAGGATGACATTGTGTTTTAGAAAAGTGGCAAATCTAGTTACAGTGACAAACCTAAATGAAAATAACTATGATTTTAGCAACAGTGATGACGAATTTCTGGGATTCTAAGAAACGCTGAGTACTTTTTGCTAATTTTTTAATGCAACAGTTCCGCTTTCGTTGTATAAAGTGTTTTTTATCATTAAAATTGGTACTTAATTCTTTTTTAAGTACTTTTCTGTCCAAGTATTTTTCGCAAGTTTTAACCTGATAAACCACTGTGCGTCTTACAGGCCAGGAAATTGAGGTATAGTATAAATCGCCGTTTCATTTCGTATCAGTGCCGACGATTTCGATGAAAAAGGGTACCTTTTTAAAAACGAACTTCTTAACGAAGAAAAGCCGTTTTATGTACATCATAATGTCTAAAAATACCGTCAAATTAAACAGTTAATCTTGACTTTAATGCTTTTGTATGCATTTCTTGAATTGATTAATAAATGTAAATTTGTAATTTAAAAAAAAGTATAATATTTTATTTAGTTACATGTTAGTTATATGTGTTATTGCTTCGTTTCTGGTATAGACCGCCCCCCCCCTCCCAGAAAAAAGCGTTTTGCTCCTCGATCGCAAAAATTTCTCGATTTTCCATTACTTAACCAGTGGAATTTCCTAGTTTTCCCCCCAATTAAATTACACCTCTGCTACAACTGAGTAAAATATTTGCAGCTATCTACACATAAATTGAATGTTTATTTTAAAATATTTCCTAATTTTTATATCCCTTTTCTAGTTTATATGAAATTTCAAAATTTAACGATATCAGCTAATGAAATACTTGCAAGTAATATAATGGTTCTGCGAAATATATTCTTGATTCCAAACCCTTATTGCTAAGCATTAGCCCATCGCTCTTAGAATACATTATTGGTTCAAAGGGGCAATTTGCCCAGAAGGATTATTAATTTCATTTTGGCATTTTGCGTTGAAAACTATAAACGGCGAATCACTTTTCAAATTGTTGCCACCAAATATTATCGCCCTGTATTTATATAAAGAAATTAAATAATGAAGATTCTGCATGAATGTATGTATGTTTTGATAAAACGACGGTATCTAGGGCCATCAAAATTTGAATAACATAATCTTCCATAGAATATCGGCGTGTGGAAGCCCTAATTTGAATGTAAAATTTGTTTTATTATCGATTTCATATTTTATAACACTTCAACGAATTTTTTATTAACAAACTCAGCGATTTCAAAGCGAGCAATGGCACCACTGTACGAAAAAAAAACATTTTTATCTCCAGCGCGCGATATATATTCCTGATATACTGATAATGAATGAGACCTAAAAACACTTTTCTTTTAAAATATAGTATCTCCCTTATGATCCCTGACACAGCCGTTTACTTTCCCCTTCCGTAATTAACGTCAGTCTCCTGCTCTTGACCGCGTTTGCAAAGCCACCAACATAATATCATCGGCATAACAGGTAATATTCGTATCAGGTACATTTTCTTGCAGTAATTTATTTGCTATGAGGCTCCAGAACAGGGGAGTACTACATGAACCCTGGGGACAGCCTTTTTTAATTTTATAATGAAGATTAATTGTATTAGAGTTGCCCATAAAAATTAGTTCTCTGTTCTCCTGATAACTTTTAATTATATCAAATAGATCTTTTGAGATGTCAATTTCTTTTAATATAGACAGTAGGGAGAACCAGCTAATATAGTCAAATGCCCCTCGGACATCGAAGGAAACCAGGACTACATGTTTACTTTGTCGCTTTTCTCTGACTTGTTTGATCACATTCTATAATGCTAATCAGTAGACATATTCTTTCGAAAACCATATTGATTTGAACTGATAATATTACTTTTCGTTAAAAAATGCTCAAATTTTTTTCGTGATGAGTTTATCCAGGATTTTTGCATGGGTCTTTAATAAGCAGATGGGTCTATGTCCACCTGTAAATTTAGGAACAAGAATCAATTTTCCAATTTTCCAAATATCAGGAAAAGTCGTTAAAACCATACATTTGTTGTAAAGTAATATATAAAAAGAGGTGAATTCCCCAAAAAGAATTTTAATTAAAGTAGTCCCGATTCCATCGAGTCCAGGGGCAGTGCCATCTCTGAGGCTAGAAATAAC